GTAGTAAGAGATATTTTCACTTTGTTTAGTAGTTATAAGTAAAATTAATTGAGGCTATGTAAAAACAAAAATCCAATTTAAATGCACCTCAAGTAACCCACAGTAACTCTGGTGACATAGAACCTAAGGCATCTGACTGCTAACTAGAAGGCTGGTGGTTAAAGTTCACCATGCACTCCATGGAAGGAAGATGGGACAATCTATTTCCTTAAAGATTTACCACCAAGTAAATCATAATAGGGAATACTTTCAATAAGTGAATTAAGCTATTACTAAAATTAAACAATAAAGTTGAGATTTATTGTATGAATTATATGGAAAAAAAATTGATTAGTACATCAAACTTGTAGAGTAAAACTTGTCCTTAACTTTTGTGTACATGACATATTTTGTATCTATTACTACCTTGCATTTTTAGAAAGTTTTTTTGTTATCTAGTATAAACCCATTGCCCACTGACATCCTGTCCATTGTGACTAACAGCAACCTTCTCTGAGTTTCCAAGGCTAAAAATGTTTACTGAAGTAGATTGCCTCATCTTCCTCTCATGGAGCAAGAAGGTAGTGGGTTTGAACTGCCCAACTTCTGGTTAGCAGCCAAATGCCTTACCCACTATGCCACCAGAGTTCCTTTAGCTAGTACAAAAAAAGTTAAAATATGAACTAGGAAACACTTCATGAATTTATATTACTATAGATTAAAGCATCATTTAGAAAGTTTAAGGTCATACTAGTATATTATATGTCAAATTTATATAAAAAATATGGTTTCCATACAATTTTTAAATTATATGTAACTTATTACTACAGGTAATTTGAAGAAAAAATTTCTGCAATATGAATTCTAAATTATACATAAAACTTACATGCTTTGTGAAATTTTTGTTTAACATCATGAATAGTTGATTTTTGTGTCACCTGAAAGGTAAAACAGAAACAGAATTATTACAAAAAAGTTTTTAAAAAAGCACATTAATTTTTGGTTATATATTTGTTTAGAGGAGAACATATTCTAGTATGTTTAAAATGGTATATAAACATAACTGTCTTGTTTTGTTTTATTAGTTACTGCAAATTTGACTTTAGAACTTAGCAATCATGAAATACAAACTTTAAATAAAATAGGTCTATTTGTATATTATAGCAATGGTGTTAAGTGAGTTCATCCACTTTTTATCTCTAAAATACAGTTTTGAAATTTCTCTGAATTTGACCTAGAACAGTCAAATTTTGTTTTCCAGATGAATGGTATATACAAGTCTGAGTAAAGGCACAATATAAAGGGTAAAAGAGTAAATAAGAGATGTGCCTGAAGATGTAGAATTGATTTACAGGGACAAGAGAGAAAAACATTTATGTAAGATTGTCATGAGGAACATCACCTAAATAGACTATATTTGATGTAATGAGCTATATTTTTAAAACACCTATTCCAAAATACTATAGCTTCAGTAAAAATTCGTGTGAGATGTATTATTTGGATTTTTTAAGTATATAAAATTTTGATCAATATTGGTACTTAATCCACTAAAAATAATGCTATTAAAATAATAATA